ACTTTAAATTATCATACCATACAAGTATGTTTTGGGAGTAAAATTCTGATTTCAATTCATCATCTATTAAATTTGAAATATATGTACAATATGGAGTATCTTTAAGTAACTCATTATTAAAAATATAAACACCTGGTCCTCTTTCACACTCAATTAGGTTAAATACAAGTCTTACAATATTATGATCTGATAATTTGGAATATACAATTGAACTATAAACGGAGTTTACCTTTAAAATTTTATCTTTGCTCTTGAAGCCATTTACATTCCAGGATCCTATATTAATCATTATAAGTATAAAGTTAAAAAATACATATCTATTCATTGCTGTTATCTGTTCTTCTCTTCTGTCTGTCCTCTACTATCCTCTTGATGTTATCTATATTAGGTTCATATCTTCTTCTGGCTGGTTTGTTTGGTGGTGGCTCTTTTTTCTGTTGTAGGGTGGGTGGGTCTGTTTTCTCTTTTTGTGGTGGCTCTTTTTTCTGTTTCTGTGGTGTCTTCTGTTTTGGAGATGGTGGGTCTTTTTTCTGTTGTTGCTGGGTTGGAGGATCTTTTCGTTGTTGTGTAGGTGGTGGGTCTATTTTTATTTTTGTTGAGGAGGGGTCTTGTTCCTGGGTTGGGGGGTCTTCTCGTTTTTGTTGTTGGAGTTGTGTATCAGTTTTCTGTTGTTGGGTCTCTTTCTCCCTCTTATCGTTAATTGGTGTGACGTTTTCAGGGATACGGTTCTGTTTCTTTTGATGTATTTGGTTGGGGTCTTTTTTCTGGTTGGGAGTTGATGTTGGGTCTGGGTGTTGTTCTGTTCTTTGTAGTGGTGGTGGTGTCATTACATCATGATTCTGTAAGATGGTACCTAAATTTTCCTCTGGACCAGGGATGATGCTATAGTCATTTATATCAATCTGTTCACAACTGTTCGAGATGTTCCCCACTTTACTCTTTTTATTATTTCTGTCCATTTCTATTGAGTCGTCTGTTTTGTTGTCTTGGTTGGTTTCCATTTCTGTTTCTAAGTCTGTCACATTCAAATCCCTTTCTTCTTGTCTCCTTTCTCCAGCTTTTCTTTTTGTTGAAATATATTTGTTGTCTGATTGATTACCGTTTGCTGAGTCCTTCTCATTTCTGTCGTCTGCTACAATACTATAACTATTACTGTTCTGATTTGATCTTCTATCGCTATCTCTTTCGCCTTCTATTCTATTCCCATCGTTATTTCCTGGTTCATTCGCATCTTTCATCTTTGAC